TTCCCAACGGTTCTACTTGGCACAAACACTAATTAAACACAAGAAAACACAACCAAAACAGAGGCTAGATAATTTATTTATTACAAAACAGGAACAAAAAGCAAATAACAAAAATAAAATTGGGTTGCCTCCCAACAAGCGCTATCGTTTAACGCCCCTAGCTAAGCATGATGATTTCAATGATGTTCACATAAAAGATAAGAATTGAAACACAAAGAGAGCATCATGAAGCATATTGCTAACACATTTAAGTCTAACCCATTTCCAATGCATAGGTATTTTGTGAGCAAACAATTTATGGGAACAATAATCAACTAGCATAGGAGAGCAAAACAAGCATAACTTCAAGATTTTCAACACATAGAGAGGAAACTTGATATTATTGCAATTCCTACAAGCATAAGTTCCTCCCTCATAATAATTTTCAGTAGCATCATGAATGAATTCAACAATATAACCAGCACCTAAAGCATTCTTTTCATGATCTACAAGCATAGAAATTTTATTACTCTCCACATAAGCAAATTTCTTCTCTTGAATAGTAGTGGGAGCAAACTCAACAAAATAATTATCATGTGAGGCATAATCCAATTGAAAACTAAAATCATGATGAAAAGTTTCATCGATATCATTATTCTTTATAGCATACAAGCCATCACAATAATCATCATAGATAGCAACTCTGTTCTCATAATCAATTGGAACCTCTTCCGAAATAGTGGATTCATCTCTAAATAAAGTCATGACCTCTCCAAATCCACTTTCATCAATACAATCATCATAAATAGGAGGCATGCTTTCATCATAAAAAATTTGCTCATCAAAACTTGGGGGACAAAAAATATCATCTTCATCAAACATAGCTTCCCCAAGCTTGTGGCTTTGCATATCATTAGCATCATGGATATTCAAGGAATTCATACTAACAACATTGCAATCATGCTCATCATTAAAATATTTAGTGCCAAACATTCTAATGCATTCTTCTTCTAACACTTTGGCACAATTTTCCTCTCCATCATACTCACGAAAGATATTAGAAAGATGAAGCGCATGAGGCAAACTCAATTCCATATAATTTTTTTGTAGTTTTCTTTTATAAACCAAACTAGTGCTAAAACAAGAAACTAAAAGACTTGATTACAAGATCTAAAGATATACCTTCAAGCACTCACCTCCCCGGCAACGATGCCGGAAAAGAGCTTGATGTCTACTACACAACCTTCTTCTTGTAGACGTTGTTCGGCCTCCAAGTGCAGAGGTTTGTAGGACAGTAGCAAATTTCCCTCAAGTGGATGACCTAAGGTTTATCAATCCGTAGGAGGCGTAGGATGAAGATGATCTCTCTCAAGCAACCCTGCAACCAAATAACAAAGAGTATCTTGTGTCCCCAACACACCCAATACAATGGTAAATTGTATAGGTGCACTAGTTCAGCGAAGAGATGGTGATACAAGTGCAATATGGATGGTAGATAAAGGTATTTGTAATCTGAAATTATAAAAACAGCAAGGTAATTAATGGTAAAAGTGAGCGTAAACGGTATTGCAATGCTAGGAAATAAGGCCTAGGATTCATACTTTCACTAGTGCAAGTCCTCTCAACAATAATAACATAATTCGATCACATAACTATCCCTCAACATGCAACAAAGAGTCACTCCAAAGTCACTAATAGCGGAGAACAAACGAAGAGATTATGGTAGGGTACGAAACCACCTCAAAGTTATTCTTCCCAATCAATCCGTTGAGCTATTCCTATAAGTGTCATAAACAGCCCTAGAGTTCGTACTAGAATAACACCTTAATACACAAATCAACCAAAACCCTAATGTCACCTAGATACTCCAATGTCACCTCAAGTATCCGTGGGTATGATTATACGATATGCATCACACAATCTCAGATTCATCTATTCAACCAACACATAGAACCTCAAAGAGTGCCCCAAAGTTTCTACTGAAGAGTCAAGACGAAAACATGTGCCAACCCCTATGCATAGGTTCATGGGCGGAAACCGCAAGTTGATCACCAAAACATACATCAAGTGGATCAATAGAATACCCCATTGTCACCACAGGTATCCCATGCAAGACATACATCAAGTGTTCTCAAATCCTTAAAGACTCAATCCGATAAGATAACTTCAAAGGGAAAACTCAATCCATTACAAGAGAGTAGAGGGGGAGAAACATCATAAGATCCAACTATAATAGCAAAGCTCGCGATATATCAAGATCGTACCACATCAAGAACACGAGAGAGAGAGAGAGAGAGAGAGAGAGAGAGAGATCAAAAACATAGCTACTGGTACATACCCTCATCCCCGAGGGAGAACTACTCCTTCCTCGTCATGGAGAGCACCGGGATGATGAAGATGGCCACTGGAGAAGGATTCCCCCTCCGGCAGGGTGCCGAAACGGGTCTAGATTGGTTTTCGGTGGCTACGGAGGCTTCTGGTGGCGGAATTCCCGATCTATTGTGTTCCCCGGTAGTTTTAGGGTATATGGATATATATAGGTGGAAGAAATACATCAGGGGAGCCACGAGTGGCCCACGAGGGTGGAGGGCGCGCCCCCTGCCTCGTGGCTTCCTCTTTGATCCCCTGATGTGCACTCCAAGTCTCCTGTATTGCTTTCTTTCCAAAAATAACTTTTCCGAAGGTTTCATTCCGTTTGGACTCCGTTTGATATTCCTTTTCTTTGAAACCCTAAAACAAGGAAAAAACAGAAACTGGCACTGGGCTCTAGGTTAATAGGTTAGTCCCCAAAATCATATAAAATAGCATATAAATGCATATAAAACATCCAAGGTTGATAATATAATAGCATGGAACAATCAAAAATTATAGATACGTTGGAGACGTATCAGCTCCCCTTGTGTCGAATCAATAAATTTGGGTTGAATACTCTGCCCTCGAAAACTGTTGTGATCCCCTATAGTTGTGGGTTATCAATGACCATCGACAACCACCGATTCGTGTCCCTCCCGGTCCACCAGGACTGGCTTGCGACACAGGTGTCGACGCTTCCTACAACCGAGGCGCTCACTCAGAATCAATGGCTGATGTCGGGCTAGGAGTGATGGAGAAGCATACGCTCCTTCTTCCGTGGAGGGTGTGTCAGGAAGTGGACGACTGGTGGTCTTTCATACCTTGGATGCTGTGGCGGCGACCTCGGGTGGTGCATCACATGGTTGGCTCTTCGGTGGGTTCTATGGTGGCGCTGGCGGCTTTCCCTCTTGGTCGCATGGGCGGCGAGCTGACAACGTCAGGTGGCTCATGCTCGTCCTCTGTGAGTGGCACTGGCAGCACCCAGATCCGGATCTGGGAGTCTAAGCTCATCGGGGTTGCCCCGAGAACTCATGGTGGCATGTGGTAACTGCCGAGCGAAAGCTTCGCGCCTTGGCGCTGCTCGCAGGCGCCTTCTTCTTCTTGAAGACGTCGTTGTGGGTCTTCTCCATATCAGGGTTTCGAGTGAAAACCCTTGTCCGCTTCGGACTCGGCAGCGGCGATATGTCGCGCCCTCTTCTCTCCTTGGGGCGTTGTCGTAGAGTTTAGGTGTTCTAGGGTGTAGCGTGGCGTTGTACTCCATATTCTCTATGTTCTCTTTCAGTAGCGTAGTCACATGAGTTCTACGTGTTTCGGTTACACCAGAATTTGCTTTGTACGAGGGCTACCTCTTCATCTTGTATCGTTCGGCTATGTATTTTGATCGTTATTGTTGCTTTATATATAAAGCGAAGCAAAAGCCTGTTTTAAGATATTTTTTTCGATAAGTTTTGTGCTGACATACGGCAAATTATATTGCCGCAATATTCACAAACACATTAAATATTGTCAAAAAATTGAATTAAGACGGAGCTGCCATGCTTGTAAATTAAATTTGTCATCCTCAACCAACACTATTGCCACGTGTTCGCATTTTCCATGCTCCCAACACACTTTCGCTGATTAAGTCGGTCCTTTTTTTTGCAAGCAAGAACTACACCGTCTCCAAAGTAAAAATGGCCGCAGATTCAAGTCGGCGCAGTTACGTGGCGATAACGCTACATCCACGTAAAGTAACGAAACACGTAAAGTAACAAAACTTCTTACGTAAACTTCCTAATAATCCTGGTTATTTATTTTGCTAGTTACGTAAAACATGCAAGTCCCTCTACGTAGATCTAGCATTACTCGTGTCGTGGCAACTTCGGCAGCACTACCTTTTGTGCATGCCCAAGTACCATTCCCTGAACTCCAAAGGCACTACTCCAGCTAGTTCGTCGTGGACTACACGAAATTAACCCACAGCCAGCGCACGACGAATCGGTTCGCATCCGGCGGGAACACAAACATGCAGGGGACGATCATGGAGGTGGTGGTGGACAGCACCAGCAAGAATGGCCGAGACGCCCCCTCCACGACGCCTCCCTCGCGGCTTAAAAAGTGCGTGGTGCTCCGCACGTCCAACCCCGCCTCCCTCCTTTCCCGCGCGCCAAACTTAGCCTCCCCATCTCCCTCTCCTACCCTCTCCTTCCTCCATCTCTCCTCTGTGGGAAGGCTTTGGATCCCTCGATCTCCAGGGCCTTCCTCCTCCTCGGACTGCCGTATCGCCCCACCACCACTACCCACATCGTCTCCATCGATCTCGGTCGATCCCCCGCACACCCTTCTCCGATCCGTTCATTCTCCCAGGCGATCCCGCGTCCTCCTCCACCACCAGCCCGTCTCGTCGATCTGACGGATCGAGGGACACGTGCGAGCCGGCCGTCCTCCGGTGGGTGCCCTGCTGCCTGCGCGCGCGCGCGTACGTACGTGTATCGCACATACATACGGTGCGGCGCGGCGGAACTGATGGCGTTCCATGAGGTCGAGGCGCCGCGGCGGTGCTGAGTCGACGCTCGATGATCGCCGGCACGCAGTGACGGCGGCGGCGGCTCCTCGGTCGTCGACCCTGCGTGTACCTTGGCGTTCTTGTCCCCCGCGAGGTCGCAGCACGGCGTGGACGGATCGGCAAGATGAGCTGCTTGCCGTGTTTCGGGAAGAAGAAGGATGGCAACGCCGAGGGAGGGGGCGGCGAGCAGGCGGGGGCGGGGCCCATGACGCCGCCTCCCGCCGTGCACGCGCCCGCGTCCTACCACGGCCCGGCTGCTGCCGCGCCCGTCTCCGTGGCAGCTCCGGCGAGCGTGACGCCGACCAAGCCGCCCGGCGGTGCGTCAGACTCAGACCTGGCCTCCTCTGCTTTTGTTTAGATTTCCTCGCGACATCGCTCCTGCAGATTCAGTGCTTAACGAAATCGATTAATGCATGCAGAGAGCGACGCCAACCCGGAGGACGCGCTGCGGCAGGCCATCGAGGTGAAGGCGTTCGCGTTCCGGGAGCTCGCGGCGGCCACCGATCACTTCACGCCGTACAACCTCGTCGGAGAAGGAGGCTTCTTCAGGGTGTACAAGGGCCAGCTAGAGAAGGAAGGGCAGGTAGGCATGCTTGCCCTAAACAAGAACCATATGATATGATCGCCATAGATATGTGCTTGCATACTGATTCGCTTGTGCGTTGGATGGGTGGATCAGGCCGTGGCCATCAAGCAGATGGACAAGCATGGCTTCCAGGGCAACATCGAGTTCCTGACCGAGGTCTCCAAGCTCAGCAAGCTTCACCACGAGAACCTCATCGACATCATCGGCTACTGCGCCGACGGCGACCAGCGGCTCCTCGTCTACGAGCACATGGACGGCGGCACCTTGGAAGACCACCTCTACGGTACTCTACGCCCGCTCGTGATAAATTGTCCGGCCGGTGAACCGTCAACTCAATCGGTTAAATTGCTGACCAAATTTTCCCACCAATCCAACAGACTTGCCGCCGGAGAAGAAGCCTATGGACTGGATGACAAGGATGAAGGTGGCCAACGGCGCCGCTCAGGGGCTCGAGTACCTGCACGAGAAAGCGGACCCGCCGGTGGTGTATGGCGACTTCAAGGCCTCCCAAGTCCTGCTCGACTCCAGCTTCACGCCCAAGCTCTCCGACTTCGGCCTCCAGCAGCTCGGCCAGTCCGGCGGTGGCAACATGCCGATGGCGTCGCCGATGATGGGTGCCTTCGGGTGCCTCGCGCCGGAGTACGACCGCGGCGGCCAGGTCAGCATGAAGTCCGACGTGTACAGCTTCGGGGTGGTGCTGCTGCAGCTCATCTCCGGCAGGCGGACCGTCGACACCAGCAAGCCCGTCGAGGAGCAGAACGTCGTCACCTGGGTACGTAATTCACCACCGCATCCATCACCACGGCCATCGATCGGCGTCGACAATTTTTTGCTAATTAAGGTCGTGCGATCCGCGGTGCGGTCGTTGCAGGCACAACCGAAGTTCAAAGACCAGAAGAAATATCACGAGCTGGTGGACCCGCTTATCAAGAGGGAGTACCCGGCCAAAGCGTTGAACCAAGTGGTGGCCATGGCTTCCATGTGCTTGCAAGAAGAGGACTGCGTGCGGCCAATGATGGGCGACGTCGTCATGACGCTAGGCTTCCTCATGATGCTGCCGCCGGATCCGCCCGCCCCAGAGCCAGAGCCAGCCCCCGCCCCCGCCCCCGCCCCCGAGCCAGTCCCCGAGCCGGCACCCAAAAAGGATGACGAATCGCGTCGCTCTGGAAGCTCGTCGTCCTCTTCGGATGACGACGGCGGCGAGGAGGAAGAAGAAGAAGAGCAAAGTTAAGGATAAATTAATTGGTCCGGGATCGGTTTGGGGGAAATGGTAATAATATGCTTCAGAATTTTAATGTCAAAGAACCATGTGATGTAGACCATGTGGTTTGTTTGATGTGTCTGATGTGTAAGTAGTGCTACACATGAATTGATTTTGGGGGGGTGGTTCAGGAAATGACCGTGACGATGGAACTTGAACGGCGGGGGTTCAGCAGTCAGGAGTAGACATGTTAAATATATATTTTTAATTACAGCAGAGCTGCTAATTTGATTCGTAAAGCATGAAAAGACAGACTTCGTTAGTTCAGTACATAATCATTTCTGATTTTTTTTGTCAGAAATCCTAGTCGGACATGACGGTAATGGACATACACAAATGCCTCACTTTTTTTTTAGGGAATGCCATCATGGCTAATTTTATTAAAATTAAATTACGCTTACATCGTCAATCAACAGCGGCAAAATAAAACTAGGTGGATCATCAGCCCACACACAACTATCTAGCCTACATTCATGTGATGCGCTACCTTATTTGCTTCCCTTGGACAGTGCATAAATAAGATTCTGTCAAAAGAGCTCGCCTGGATACGAATGTCTTCGAATATTGGAGCAGCAACTGTCGCAGAGAAACCGCCATCCAGAAGAGTATCAATAACTCCTGCACAATCACAATCAGACTGAATAACTAATTTTTTACGGCCTATTTGATTTGCAAGATGAATACCATCTAGAACTGCTTGAGCTTCAGCTGTTGCCGCGTCTAGCGCAAAAGGAATGAGCTTGGATCCCGCGCCTACAAATCTTCCTTTATCATCTTTGATTACCACACCTGTAGCTCCTGACCTCATATTAATATCGTACTTCGAGCGTGTTCGGTAGTTGCCCACGGCTGCAAAATCCTTAAATCCATGGCCCAGATCCAGCCGCCAGCTTCTCACGTAAACTCCTGGAGCTATCGATCTATTCGGTGCGGCAGCTTCTCGCAGCCAGCGATCGACGAGGCCAAAAGGCCAGAAAGTGCTTATTCGGCCCATTTTAGCAGGCCTCCTTTCTCTTTGGCCTGGGCATACGTGGGCTACTGTGACATGAATTTGATTTTTTTTCTTCACAGACACGGACGAGGTACTCGAGGAGAAAGAGAAGGAGGTCGGGGAAAAGCTCGTCGACGCAGCCTGCGTGCTCCGGTGGTTGGGGATGGCGGGGTCGATCTCCGGTCGGAGCGGCGGGGAAGAGCTCCTGTCAGGGACGGCAAGGAAGAGCTCCGGTCGGGGACGTCGGGGAAGAGCTCCGGTCGGGGACGGCGGGGTCGAGTTGCGGTCAGAAGGGAGGCGGAGGAGGGCGAGCGCGGCAGTGGAGAGGGCGGTCGCTGGTTCTCGCGTCGGTTGGATGGTCGTGGCGGCGCGCTAGGGTTCGTCGCGGGCGTGGAGGGGAACGGGGGAGCAGTGGATCGACTCGAGGGAGGAGACGAGCGCTGCCTCGAAGCGGTACCTACGGTCACTTCGCGGTGGCAATCAGTTGTAAATTGAGCCAACTCTCGCTTCCCAGTTTTCGTGGAGCCAGCTTTTCCCAGCTCCGCCACTCCATTAATTTTGCACGTAGTGGAGAGCCAGCTTCTCGGCCCAATAACCAGGATTGGAACCGTTCGGCTGGACTTCGAGGCTGGATACGAGGATTTCAGAAGCCAGAGGGCTCCCGAACACGTCCTTCGCATCAACATTTACAGAGACAAAGCTCTCAGACGCCCGATGCCAAGTACTTGATCTTGGTTGAATCACTTTCCCTTGTGCTTTTAAGAAACTAGATACCAAGACTTGAATTGACATCGCCGCTTGTGATAAAGATTGCACAGTTTCTGCATGGACTGTCTGCCTTCGTCTCCACCAAATATACCAAGCGGCCATTATGATTATTTCTCTTAAAAACTTTACTGATGCATCAACTAGGACCCTGAACTTTTATGACGCCCTCGATTCAATCGTACACTAATCATACACGCAAATGTATACGATCAAGATCAAGGACTCACGGGAAGATATCACAACACAACTCTAGACACAAATTAAAATAATACAAGCTTTATATTACAAGCCAAGGGCCTCGAGGGCTCGAATACATAAGCTCGAAATACACAAGAGTCAGCGGAAGCAACAATATCTGAGTACAGACATAAGTTAGACAAGATTGCCTTAAGAAGAGTCGCACAAAAGTAACAACGATCGAAAAGGCAAGGCCTCCTGCCTGGGAGCCTCCTAACTACTCCTGGTCGTCAGCGGTCTCCACGTAGTAGTAGGCATCCTCCGGGTAGTATTAGTCTTCAGTGGCATCGTCTGGCTCCTGGGCTCCGTCATCTGGTCGCAACAATCGGGTATGGGGGAAAGAAGTAGCAAAGCAACCGTGAGTACTCATCCAAAGTACTCGCAAGACTTACATCAGATCTAAACTAAGTATGCATCTGTATCAAAGGAGTGGGTTGTATCTATGGACTAAACTGCAGAATGCCAGAAAGGGAAGGGGAAAGCCTAGCCTATCGAAGACTAGCATCTTCTGGAAACCACCATCTTGCAGCAACAGGAGGGAGTAGAGTAGCATAAAGTAAAGTAGCAGTAATGTTATCAACCTCGACCAGAGATCCTTTCTCGACTCCCTGCGAGAAAGCAATCCCAGAGCTATACTATCCAGTTATCATCTCATATCCAAGTCTCATCACAAGTATCTAGTTCTAGTTGTATCGATCGGGATACAACTCCAAGTGTCCGTTACAGTAGGACAGGCTATCGATAGATGTTTTCTTCCCTGCAGGGGTGCACCAACTTACCCACCACGCTCGATTAACTCCACCCGGACACACTTTCCTGGGTCATGCCCGGCCTCGGCCAAACAATACGCCGCAACCCGACCTAGGCTTAATAGAGAGGCTAGCACGTCGGACTAAACCTATGCCCCCAGGGGTCATGGGCCATCTCCCCGGGAACTCCTGCATGTTGCGAACGCGGCCGGTGAGCAGACCTAGCTACCTCCTTCAACAAGGTAGGTGCTTTCCAGTCCAACCCGGCGCGCGCCGCTCAGTCGCTGACGTCATTTAAGCTTCGGCTGATGTATACGACGCAGAACGCCCATACTATGCCCACGTGATGGTTAGTGCTATCAGGCCAGAGGCCCCTCGGATCAAATATCCAAATCATAGTGGATTAGGAACGCGCGGTAACGAGCAGAGACTCACGATCGATGTGACCCCGTCGCCCCGTCTCGAGTACTTGCGGCAAGGGCTAAGAATGCCCGGCAACGCCTCGTAAGTATCTCACGGGCACCTTCCAGGTCAACCCGACTCCACTTCACTCGCAATTAAGCTCGCGCGGGTACCCCTCAGGGTCGTCCCGTCTTTAGCAACATGGCTCAGTGTAAAGTCATAGTAATCATAGTAACTGTGTGTCTAACACCAAAGGGAAACCCCGAGGAATCACCCTTGGTGAATTCCACTCGATATTGTCATCAAGGTGAACGTAAGAGGATCCACCCTCGAGGTTCACACTTGAGGGGTTGCACGACAGAGCCGTACCGGAGGTGGTTAAGGAGGAAATCACCCTCGATGACCATGACCGGATAGCTACACTACAGAGATCTCATCAGGAGTGATGTAAGAGGTTCCACCCTCGGCACTCGATGGTAACTCTGCAGAGTCGTACAAATAAGGGGGTGATGTGCGGTGTCGGGGCCTGGACGTTGATCACGTCGATTGAGTCATCGAACATAAAACGAGGCAACTGGGACAAGGTGGGGTCACTGATGGATCACTAACCAACCTATACTAAGCAGTTTAGGATAAGCAGGTAAGGTATGAAAGCAGATAACAACAACAGACTATGCATCAGAGTAGGATCATACATAAAGCAGTAGCAGTTCTAATGCAAGCATAAGAGGGAAAGAAATGGGCGATATCGGAATGCTCAAGGGGGGTTTGCTTGCCTGGTTGCTCAGTCAAGGAGGAGGGATCGTCGGTGACGTAGTCGATCACAGCGGCATCATCGGTTTCGGGGTCTACCGGAGAGAAGAGGGGGAAGAAACAATAAATACAGAGCAATCAATGCATCACAAGGCATAACATGACGACGGGCAGAGCTAGGGTTGCCCTAACGTAGTACTACACGTTGCAGACGGAGGGGATAAACATCCGAGGATGAATTCCTAGTTCCGGACGTTTGTCAGACAGATGAACCGAAGGGAAAAGGTTCGAGGTTTGCTAAGCTAGGGACGTGTGACGGACGAACGGACCGCGTTTTTGGATTCGTCTCGTCGTTCTGAGAAACTTTCATGTATAAAGCTTTTTCATCCAAAATACGGTTTAATTTCTAAGATTTTTCAAAGATCTAACAATACCCGGGAAAAAAATCCTGAAATTTTGCTAAGTCTGAGAATTCGTCAGTTTTTAAACATCACTTAGCGGTTTTTTGGAGGCTATAGCTATTGTTCTGTACGTCCAATGATTTTGTGCCTTATATCAATTATGAGCATTTCTCTACGATCTACATGTTAGTAACAAGTGCAGCTATGTTAGCATCCATTGGCTTGCTCAAAACTTTGTTTGAAAAGGCTACTACAGCATTTCTGTTTTCTGTTTTTCCGTTAACAGAATGTAGCAATTTGTGATTTTCTTATGATTTAAACCAAGCATCAAATGGATTTGGTTCAATGGAAACATCTGAACGTTGTCAAGTGTACTACCTTCCCAAAATATTTTTGCTCCTGTTAGTAGATGTTTAGCCGCTATATAGGGGCTGTTTAGAGGGCTAGGCAGTGTAATATCTGTGAAGCTAGCTGCTGCTACAGTAACTGAATGTTACTGTAGCGGCGCTGCAGTAGCAGCAGGCAGCAGCGCTAGAGGCGGCGGCAGCACGGCGCGCGAGCGGGAGACGGATGGCGCGGTGCAGGCGGGACGGGCGGCGCGAGGGGCTGCGGGGCGCGTGGGCACCGGCCGACGCGTGCAGGCAGAGCTGCAGCAGCGCGCAGCAACAG